ATTGCAATGAAACAGCACTGACACAGCAGGGCCTCAACAGTAAAAAAAAAAAAAACATTGAGAACTGTTAGCACAACAAGCTCTTAAAATAAAAACAAAATTGAGAATATGGCAAGAGTTTCTGTCAAAGAAGATTGTACCAACCAAATGCCTTTTGATTAATTCAGGAATAAAAGTACAACTCATTATTACATGGTAGAGTAATGAAACTGTGCTGGAAAGGGGAAAAAAAAACAACCTTTGCTACAATGTGACTTGTGACTGTTGATAATACAGAGAGTTGTGAAAATCCGGAGAGCCAGTAAACAAGGCGAGAACTAACAGCCAAGTACTTTTCTGTCATGAATACCCTCAGTGCCTATCTGTCCACACAGTACACACTGATATACAATAGAAAAGTGCCCTTTAGACTTCTTATTCCATAGCAGGCTGGTCTTGTCCTGACACCTGTTTGATATTTTTCCAGAAAGCTGGATTGAAAGATGTCTCAGCGAAAGTGAAACCAAGCGATACTCCAGTCATACGTCTCTGGGGAATATGTCGAACGACGAAAGTAAGGACGACTTCCATCTCTGTTTGGGGTTACAGCGGGAAATGTTTACAGGGTGAAATCTGTTTGGTTGGTGGAATGATCCTGAAGTTCACATAGGAGGCAAACTCAGTTCGTCCACCTCCGAACTGCAGCACCCCCCTGGGTGACAAATGGCAGTGATTGTGTGCAGGTCAGGTGGAGGAGTGAGAAATATAGGGGACCCAGAGTGGCATTTATCCAGGACACTGTGGTGAACATCTCTACTCTGACAAACAGAGCCATGTGATCTTTAAATCACAGAGTCCAGGAAAACCTTGGTTTAATGTCCATCAAAAGTCTGGACCTCCTGTGCCTCAGTGTCCCCTGGCCAGGATACTGGCTAATTGGATTCGAAAGTGCAGGGGGGAGGGGGCGCCACTTACTGGTCCACCAACACCTCTTACAGAAACAACCTGGTTTTCAGCGGACGTCTCCTATTCCATTAGTGACCAGACCCAATAATACCAATCCTCTAAGATCTAACAAAATTGGATTACAAATGTTAAAGCCACCAAGATCTACACCATATAAGCAAACGTATTCCATGTGACTGATTATATGGTACTATATGGTACTTAGAAGTAGTTCAGGTAGGTAACTGCGTCAGAATGCGTAGGCTGCAAAGGAACAAGTAATAGATTTATTCCGTGCTGAGAAAAGAAGAAAGAAAACCCAATGTTTTGGCCGTGTGAGCTCACACATGAAGAAGGCGAAACATTGACTTTTCTTTCTTCTCTTTTCAGCATGGAATAAACCTATGGCTTGTTCCTATATGGTACTAACAGTATGTTAGTATTACACTAAAGCTCTATTTGAGTCTCGTATTAAAGATGATTATATTCTGAACTGAATCATGTTTTAGTTTTAAAAAAACATATTTTTGCATTTTTTTCGTTAATGTTTTTTTGACGCCATGTAAACAAGATGTTTGTGTTGTATAACTCACATTAAGAAAGCACTTCAGACCACCACTCTTCCAGTGGTAATGCTCTGATTGTTGTATTCTATGTGCTGTATATATTTATGCTTTTCAGAATCTGGCAAAAACAAAATTCCAAGGAGGTTCAACTGCAGTGTCTGAATACATTGTATGCACTTTTCTCTGAAAAAAAAAAGTTTTTACTTATTGAAATATTTTGCTGTAGAAAATATTTGAAAATGAGAAAAAAAAAACAATGAGACATCAGGGAGTACTTCTAGAACTTTAAAGAGAATTTTCATTGATCTTATATTTCAATTGTATTTCAGTCTTATCAATGCCGGTTCTAGCCCTGTTTTTCTTATTAATTAGAATGACCACTGATAGGTAGATTCTAGACTTGTAACTGGATTGTTGTGGGTTCAAACTGTACATGTGGGACATTGCTCCTGTTTTCTTGGGAAAGGTACTTCACCTGAACATTTCGGTAAAATACCTGGCTGTATAAATGGGTCCAAATATAAACTGCTGTGTGTTAAAATGTCAGTAAATGAATTAGTAATATTTAAGAACTAAATCTCACATTTTCTGAAAAGAGCCCAGACTTTGCACCTGAACCACCTGACTGGGAAGCCTGTTGTAGAAGCCCACACCTCTTTGCACAAATGACTGTTTCCTATTCTGCACTCAAAATCAATTCCCATTTATTTTCTGGACTTAAATGGTTAATGAACAGAGTTCTGGGAAGCACGTAACGTCTCTTAATTAAGCAACATTGATCCATGATCATCTGGAATGAAAATTGCTGTGGCTCTGCAGGATCAGAGCTGCTGAACCCAGGTCTAAAATATCAAGCTCAACCATACAGTGTCTCCTGTTCAGATGACACATCAGCAATACTTCAGCAGAGAAGGTGGAAGAAATATTCCTGGTAAATTTCTTCTTAAAATGAGGCCCACTTTATTAAAATAAAATATAAGAGCAGAGATGGGAATGAGCTTCACATAATATTATTATTATTCATTGTTTTTTAATTATTCATCATCATGATCTTTACATGATTACCCTGTGACTACCCGCACAAAAGGCAGAAAAAAAACTCTGGATATATGGATATAAAACTGCACTTTTAACCCTTAGGTTACTCATTTATTTGTAGAACCAATCAATATAATTTGTTTAGAATATTTCTGATAAATGACAGAAAACTGTGAGTGTGAGTTTACCCAGCGATCACGTTGTCTGTGCTTGAACAAAAAATATGATTTTCTGAATTGTTGGCATAGTATAAACAAATAAGCTTGCTAAATGAAAGGACTGACAGATTTTAGAGAAGGTGGTTTTTGTCATCTGTATGAAGGACGTGTACAGTACGTACACTAGTTGATTGAGTAAAAAGTGGGCAGGAGCAGAAGAGGTTGGTGGGACTCTAGGATTGCACTCTGTTGCCTTCCTATTTAGAGCTTGTGTTGCACAGGCACCCCCAGTCACTGTGGTCCTGTGTGGAGACAGCTGTGCCCCACACATGAGCCAAACTGATGGTCATGGGCAGTGCATCGTCTTGCCCGTGCATCATCTGTCTTTAACTGAGAACTAATTGAAATTCCAGGGGCCACTACAGCTACATTCCAGCAGTTTGGTAGAGCTCGTTAGAGAGCCCACAGGCAGACATCCTGGAGTTTCTGGGCTCAGGACATGTTCTATGACGAGTCTGGCTAGCTCACATTTGACTGGATTTGCTTTCAAAAGTCTGAAGATGATGATGTTGTTGCAGTGCATACAAAACTGCAAGAAAACATTTCCAGGACTTAAGAGGACAAGTCTTTTGCCAATTGATCTTAGCCTTCTGTCCCTCCTGGAATTTTTTAAAAAATAATCTTTTATTTTAACAGATATGTCAACTGATTTACAATGACAACCTTGAGATTAACCATTCATGTAACAGGGCATTTAATGGCAGAATTTGTGTGAAATACATTGCTCAATCACACAACAGCAGCGGCATCCAACTTAGGGTTTGTGAAATGTAGTTGTTCATTATTTTAAATGAATAAATATTTATATACCCATATGACTGCAGTAGAGAGCTTTGTTCATATATTTATTGCATATTTTATTTGATTTGCTTTTTATCCAAGACAACTTATACAGATAGGTATTTTTTGGAGGAGAACCTATTTCTCAAGGGTACAAAAGCAGTGTCACACAAGGTACTGTACCATCTATGAATTGGCTTCATTACTCTGCTCTCCTCCCCACTGAGAGCTGATGTGTGGTGAGCGTTTTGGCGCACTATGGCTGCCGTCACATCATCCAGGTGGATGCTGCACATTGGTGGTGGTGGAGGGGAGTCCCCATTACCTGTAAAGCGCTTTGAGTGGAGTGTCCAGAAAAGTGCTATATAAGTGTAAGCAATTATTATTATAATTATTACTGTATATGAACCCACCTACTGTATACCTCCCAGGTATAACCACTTAACCACTGCTCCAGACTGCAGCCTTGAATAGTAAGTTCCTTTTCACAGCAAAGTACCATGCTGTAAGTGATATATTCAGTGCCCCCATAAACTGCACTTAGCATATTGTCACTTAGTCTACACCAGTTCTGCTGTTCTCTTTTTGTTTGATCTATTTCTATGCACAGTATATTCCACAATTGTGATACCAAAGATCAACAAATCTTTTTGCACAAAAATATTGGAAGTTACATGGAGGTGCATTTAAAATTTGATTGTGGGAATCTGAAACATATTGTTTAAGCTGTTGGCCTGACTTTTAAGAAACCGTGGGAGAGGATCTTCAGATCAATTACTGTAGCTACTAACTACCTGGGCTGGGTGGAGGACTCTCGTTCCTAAAAATTCTTATGTTCTTAAATGATTTGAAAGCAAACATGCTGCTGTCCTTATTCTGATACACAGTAAGGGGCTACTTACCTGTTTCAAAGATGAATGTGGTATTTCTGGGGATGAACTTCACTGCTGGAGCGTACCAAAACACAAGATATGTCTTTATTGCTGAAGTGTTTTGATCCAGTGGTGCAGCTTGTTTGCACTTGTTGAGACGTCCAGTACATTTTTAGTGATGTTGCATACTTTTTAAGCAAGTGAAAGCCTGGTACTATACTGAGAGGCATTAAAAACACACCAAATACTTTTTTTCCAATACCAAATTCTGGCATTTTAAATGTTTTTGAGTACATAACTGAGCCACATTTTAGTTAGCAGATATTATGGTGTGGTGTGTGTTGCTTAATTTGAATGTGCTATGTTATATTACTGTGACTGTATTGGTTAGTCTTGTTGTTCTCAACTGCATGCACACAGAACAAGACAACTGAATGGTTTAAAAATCAATATACTGCTCATGTCAGATGCAGCACACATCTGCAATTGTTATTATTATCTTCAGCACAAGTAGTAATAAACTGTTTATAGATGGTTATTATCAGCATTATAATGTGTAAATAACACATCTTTCCTGAAACAGATGAGGAAAAAGAAAACAACAGAGCTTCCAAACCACACTCAACCCCAGCTACTTTACAATGGTGAGTACACACATTCTCTTCCTTGAATTTGGGTTGAACTACCACACGGAGAAATGCATGGTCATTCTAAATCACATTACAATGACAAACTATTGCTTACTCTATACTGGATGGCTTGTGTGTTTAAAAGTCTCAAATGCAGTAGCATATTTGCTGTTGTAACTCAAGAGTAGCGTGGTGGCTGGTTGTTTAATCTGGGAACTTATTTAATAAGAGAAACCGGATGCTTAGTTTTAAAATATTCAGGTTCTGTAATTAAACATATTTTTTTCAGTCCAGTCCAGTTCACACACGATACAGTAACAATGAAATGACAAAATGAGAAAATGACATGAGGATGGTTGCTAGAATATTTTTTCTGCTAGTGAAATAGCATATTTGTGAAGGCCAAATGAAGATTAAAACTGGGCAGAAAAAATGAACTACATACTATGCCTTGTGTATGCAGCCAGACTGACATACCAATTAGGAGTCCTGTTTCACCGGCCTTAATAAATGTATCTAAAAGAGCTTGTGACACTGCTAAGAGCTGACTGTCTTTCTTTGCAAGCCCATAAAGACCCTACCCTGCCTTTTTACGAAGGCAAATTCCATCCGTGTCAATGGTGTTCTAATAACTGGGAAATTAGGTGACGTGAACCAGTGGTAACATTGCAGTGCCTCTTCTCAACAAAGGATCAAAAGGCCACCTGTTGCCAATTAGGATTTTATATGAAAGAAAACGCCAACAGGACACAAAAGTTGGTGTTGTGCACTCTCCTTCTTTCAATTGAAAAAGGTTTAGTTCCCAAGCATTTTATTAAGACAGGAAAACCTGGATGTGCCTGGGCGCTGTATGAAGATGATTCATACATTCAACTAAACACCAGGTCAAGAACGTGCTGTAGGATTTATATTAAGAATTTTTAATAATCAATAAATTATAAAAAAGCATATTGAGAATACTTTAAAATATTCTTTTTAACAAAATTAACTTTTGTTAAGAACACAATATAACAACAAAATCACATTCCAAAAAATAGCAAATATGAGGGAAAAATTATCACAAAATGTTTCTGAGCTAGAAGGAAGAAGTCTCTTCATATAATCATAAATGAATATATTTCACATGCTATATTGACACAATAGTTTGATAAGTGTGAAGGAAAGTAAGGATGAAAATTCTTGTAGTTGTGTCTATATATATGTGTCTATATACATACCAGTGAAAACTGGTGTTTTTCACAGGCCAGTGTTGAAATATAGTTTATTACTGGCATTAGTGGTAAAATCAAAACACAAACCTGTAATGATTTGGGTTATTTTATCCAAGTCTGTGTTTAAAGATCACCTTTTGTGTTAAAGGGCAATAACATAACAACAGTGATTATTTCTAAAGGCTTTAAGAGCTTATTCAATTAAAGTAATAATACTGTATGCAGCGAGGGAGCCAAAATGTTGTTCCATATCACAATGAATTGCCTCTCCACATACACATACACAATTCCCCATTTAAGTTAGAAGTTTTTTAAAGGCAGTCTGCATCAGTTGTACTGTATTTTCCTTGCGACACATACCACAATGTAAACTATTTGTTATGAATGTAAAAAATTATATAGAAACATTTAATAATATTTAACATTCAAAATACACTTTGGGATTACCAGTCTTTATTGGAGTTAGGTACTGTTCTTTCTCAAATTAACAGCTGTAGAGTATTGGTGGTGTACTGTGGTAAATCATTTTCAAGAGGTGAATTTTTACTTATATATATATAAAATGAAGATGATCATATTTAAATGTGATTACATTTAAGGGGAGCATTTTTCTTAAACTAAATATTAAACTGAACCTTCAGAATGATGACAATAAATTTCATAAGTGAGCTTTAATCCTGACAGTAAAAATGCAGAGAGAACAGAGTTTTTGCGTTGTTTTATGACAAGCTTGTGAAAAAGGACTGCATAATCAATGGACCATAATCAAATCTGCATCAAAGATCATATCTTTGCTGTGGGCTTTTCAACAGAGTACAGTGGCAAAGAAGCATTCAGAACAAGAGTAATTGTAGAAGATCTCACAGATTGTCATTATGTCCTGATTGATGGGTAATGTGAAAATCCATTTGCTAAATAGCAAGGGTCAAACAGAATCAAGGCGTATCACCCTGGAACTATTGTTAATCCCTGTCTATAGCTGACAATGGTGTTTTGCATTGTGCAAAGGTTAAGAAAAGAGCACTCGTTTGAGCCGTGCTATTTTATGTTTAAATCGCTAGAGCTTGAGCGTGTTTTCAGGTTATTTTGTTTTCTGCTTGTATGTAAGATGTTAATCTTTCTTATTTTTCTGCTTACTCCTGCAATCAGTATTCCATAGTAAGTTAATAGTTTATTAAAAACGAAACTTTCTAAATGTTCAAAACCAAAGAAATAAATTAAAGCTGTACAGTTTTGTTTTACGAATTGGGCACTTAAATTCATTCACTCAGACAGGTTACTAAGGTTTGTGTGACACGGATTTGATTTCTCACACACATCCTGGTAGTTACTGTAAAAAGCCTTTCCAGAAGCTGTTTTCATTGGAATAAGGATTAAGCATTGCACATCGTAGTCTACACCAAAGCACCAATAAGTATCCATTCTGAGAAAATCAAAATAACAAGATCAGTACAGATGGCCTTTAGTACCAGGTCTTAAAGGGTGTTGAGAAATTACTTTCAAAAACATTTTGTCAGTCAAGTCAAACTGGCCTATAAAAATATTTTTATGAGTACAGTACATGAATTCTAAAATTCAACACAAGCCAGTGCAATCTGGTTGAGCTCAGCTGCACTGATCTTCAGTGAACGAGTTTCCGACACCAACTTTCTTGTATTTGAATGTCAAAATATAGAACACATGATTCTTTTTTTCCATATTTCAGTCCCAGTTTCAGAAAAGCTCATTCTTATTCAATGCAACTCACCATTAGATTCCCACAAGCTGAAAACACATTCTGCATTCTCAAAGGCTGGGTGGCAGCAGGCAAAAGGAAAACAATATTGCCTGGTTCACACACAACAGTTCTTGGTAAGAATTGACTAATTAGAGGAACTTTAAGGCAAGCCTTCTGAAACTTTTGACATACAAAGGCCCTCCTGATTTGAATAACATGTCTTCCTTAAAGAAATCTAAAAATGCTATACTGTAATTGTAGTAGTATTGCACAGAAGCTCAAGCTTAGCCAAAATGTTTAGCAAGACAATGATCCAATACATGCATGCAGACAGGCAAAGCTGTGCCTAACTACAAAACACAAATGTGCTTGATGGGCCATCTCAATTGCCAGACCTCAGTCTAAACATTTTTGAAAGAACTTAGGATTTCAGTCCGAAAGTATAAACCAGGGGATATGAAAGGGGACAATTCTACCTGGAGAAATGGTCAAAAATCCTTCTCTAAGGATCCTTAAAGGACATTACAGGAGGTGTCTTAAGAACATAAAAACAATTACAAACAAGAGGAGGCCATTTGGTAGTGTTTTGCTTTCTAGGATTAAATTATGACAAATATCACTACACTTTCTGCAGTGCTATTAGGATGACAGTATAACATTTTAGATTTCTGTAAGCTCAACACATTATCCCACACAAGTGTCTTTTATTTACGTGGCATATGTGTTCATATTTACTCTGAAGTATGAATAAATCTAGAAAGCACTATACTCTGAACTGTCTGATGGATAGATCAAGTTCTATTTTTTATATAAAAACCTTATTAAAAGTGTTTCTTTTGGGCCAGTTATTCACAATGTATCTAGCAGGTGAAAGGCAAGAATACAGTACATGATTCTTAAGGCTGCTGTGTCATCTATGGCAAACAAGGCTTAAATATCTGTACACGAATGAAAAT